AAGCTTATTAACCCCAGCCAAGCATTAATCTACAGGAAGTACCTTCCTCCAATGTTCTTATTGCTGATATAAGCTGAAAATGAAATAAGCCATGCATAGTAGGTGAAGGGATTTATTTTTCCGTGAGTGCCGTGCAGCGTTAATTCCTTTACTGTACCTTAGCCAATCATGCTGAATGTATAATATCTACTTCTTTAATAATATAACATATCCTACTCTCTCCATTGCAGGTTACTTTTATAAATCATATAAATCATAGCCAGAATCATGCTTAATATTAATTGCTTAGAATTGAAAGCATAAGGCTTTTTTCAGGCTCTTTTCTGAATGCAAGTCATTGCACAACCACGGAAACATGCTGGGACTTCGTGTGAGAAGTCTAGTGGTGAAGAATAAAAGATGAAAAATTGAGTCTGAACATGGAAAATAATTAAATAAAAAAATATTTTTCTGAATAGCATCTCACAGATGTTCGGCACCATGAAAGTGTATAAAAATAGTTATTTACCAAATCTATGTTTTCATTTCAAACACTGTTGATAGAAAATGTAGTTCCTTTTCATTAGGTACTGTCTGTGTTAAGGACCTGATTTGTCTACCTTTTGTAGTCATTTAGAACAGTTTTTTTTCATACTGCTCTTTCCTAGTATAAGCCACAAGGAGAGGTTGAATATTCTGATAATAACCATTCAGCTGCTCTCAGTATTTCAAAAGAACAAAATTGTGGCATAGCCAAATGAGTTCCAGAAGGCAATAAATGTGCTGGCTTTGTATCACCAGTAAACACTCACATATTTGCAGAGAAAAGCAGTTTTTAAAAAGAATGGACAAGGCAAATACCAGAACTACAATCCTGGACCTCAGGATCTGCTTGGAAGAGCTACATGGGAGATGATTCTGGAGAAAATAGGATTCCAGAAGAAGTAGTCATTCTCCAGGATCACCATACCTCCTTTAAGCTCAAGGCCTGTCCAGCCTGACATGAAGCTCCTGGTAAATCTCAGACATGGAAAGGAAACATAAAAGAGATGGAAGCAGAGTCAGTTGACCCATTGAAGGGGCTGAATAAGAAATATAGAGACAGTGTCTGAACATGCAGAGACAGTCAGGAGCATAAAAGCTCACCAGGAGCTGAGCCTATCAAAAGACTATCAAAGGGCATCTAGGAAGCTTCTGTGAGTATATCAGCAGCAAAAAGAAGACTAGGAAAAATATGGGTCTTCTGCTAAGTGGGACATGGAAAACGCTGAGTTACTCATTGCCTCCATCACTTCGGTCTTTACTAGTAAAATCTGCTTACAATAATCCAAACCCTCTGCAACCAGAGAGGAAACCTGCAGCAATCAACATTTACCTTCAGTGGAGGAATATCAGGTATGGGGAACATTTAAGCAATTGGACATACAAAAGTCCAAGGGAAATGAAAGAATACACCTACAAGTGCTGAGGGAGGGAGAATGACAATGTGAGACCACTCTCAATTATCTTTGAAGAGCATGGTGATTGGGAGGAGTTCCTGAGGACTGGAAGAAAACAAGTGCCACATCTTCAGGAAGGAGGATTCAGAGAGCTGTAGGCCAGTCAGCCTTGTCTCAGTCCCTGAGGAGGTGATGGAGAAAAAAACCATGGAAAACAATGACTAACATCTCAATGACAAGAAGGCGGCTGGGAGTTGTCCGTGCGGATTTATGAAAGGTTAATTGTGCTTGACCAACCTAATAGCCTTCTGCAATGAGAGAAATGAGATTCGTCTTGGTGGACAAGGGGGGAGCAATCATTGGTTTTTATCTTGATTTTAGCAAGGTTTTTCACACTGTCAAAATGCATGAAGATAGGTGGACAGACAGGTGAAGTCAAAACTGACTGAATTGCCAGACTTAGAGCATTGTGATCAGTAGCATGAAGTCCAGCTGTAGGTCTATCACTAATGGTGTATCCCAGGGATCAATGCTGGGGCCAGTAGTGTTTAACATCATTAGTAACTTGGATAATGGGACAGAGGACACTTTCAGCAAGTTTACAGATGGTAGTGAAGTGGTTGTATTGCCAGATATTTGTACTGCCCTTCAAGAGGAACCTTAGCAGGCTGGAGAAGTGAGCTAGCAGGAATTACGTAGTGTTACAAAGGGAAATGCAAAGTGCTGGAGCACAGGAGGAATGATATTATACACCAGTACAAGCTGGGGACTAAGAAACTGGAAGACTGTTTTAGCAAAGGGTCTCAGAGTTCTGCTAGACACAAAGTTGAACATGAACCGGCTGTGTGTGGCCTTGCAGCAAAGAAACCAACAGCCTTCTGGGCTACATTAGGAAGAGTACTGCCAGCAGGTCTAGGGAGGTGATTCTTCTACTCAGCACTGGTGAGACAGATATGGAGTCCAGTCCTGGTCTCCCTGGGACAAGTGAGATATGGACATACTGGAGCAAGTCCAGCCAAGAGCTGAAGATTAAGGGCTTGGAGCATACAAGGACAGACTGAGAGAGATGGGATTGTTCAGCTTGAAGAAGAGAAAGCTGTATCAGTGTGTATAAACATCAGATAGGAAGTAAAGACGACAGAGCCAGGCTCTTCTCACTGATATTCAGTAATGAGGGAGAAGTACAACTTAAAATACAGGAAATTCCATTTAAACACAAGAAAAAGCTTTTTTTTACTGTGAGGGTAGTCAAACACTGGAATAGTTGCTTCTAGAGTTTGTGGAGTCTCCATTCTTGGACATATGCAAAACCCAATGGGCCATAATCCTGAGCACACAGCTCTAGTTGACTCTGCTTTGAGCCTGTGCGTGGAGTGGACAATCTCCAGATGTGCCCTCCAACCTCAGGAGTTCTGTGACAATTTTCAGTTGCACCATGGTCATCAAACTGCATCCAAGTTGCCTCCCAGGTTTAGGTTGTGCTTATTTCAGGTCATATTCACAAACAAACCTTTCTCCATCACTGAAGGAAAGAAATGGTAGCCCAGATTATCAGGGGATCTTCTTCCCTCAGTCTTTGCTCAACAAAACAGCCAAAAAAACAATTCTTAGAGAAGTTTTATGCCTTTGAAGCAACAGGAAATTCCAGAGAAAAAACACCAGGAAGGAAAAGCTGTTGAGTAATCACATAGGAACCAAATCTTGTCAACTAAATGTGTGAGAAATAGAAGGAAGGAGAAAGAGTTTTTCAGAAGAGGATTTAGAAAGTGACAGTGATGTTCCAAATACTCTGGACTGTGAGAAACTGGTGACAAAATGAAGGACTGTTTTGCTTGTACGGCTTTGTCTTTCTGTAAGTCAATAGTCAAATACTGTGTTTAATTCTGGTCATCATATTTCAGAAAGGATTGAGACAGGTAGCAAAAATGGGATATCATAATAAGAATAGTAATGAGATCAAAAGGATAGATAATAGCAGTCATAACTCCTAGCCCTCTGGATTCCATTAGACATATTAGCACTTATCCATCTAATGTTTTTCAGAGAGTATCAAAGCACTTTCAAAGGAGATCCATATCACAACTGCAACTTTACACAGGAAGGGATATACAAGATGAGTTGCATGTAGTGTCACCCAAAAAATCACTTGCAGAGATGGAATTAGAAACAAATTTGTTGACTTCTGGAAGAGCATAGTAACCATTCAGCCATCCTTCCTTGGGATAAAAACAAGGAAAAAGAGGATGTTCAAGTGCAGGATCTTCTGTCTGTAGCAAAATAATATTCAGTGAAATTGAAATGTGTCTAATTCAAAGTGAACTGAAGGATTTACTTGATACCTGATGTACTTAGCCTTCAAAACTAGCTCCAGTTAGATATTGATGATGCTAAGAGATCAACAGGATTCAAAATACAGGTGTGGAAAATATTTATGTCCATTATAGTGAGTGTTGCAACCATTCTCTTAAGGGATATGCACTTTCCACATGTCAGCACTTAAGCCAGTTCACAACAGGCACAGGTAGGAATTTTTCCAGTGCAAATACCAGCACTTAACTATCATTTAAGGCAGTTTGCACAGAGTGAGAGATTATTGCCAAGGTCAGAACAGCACAACAAGACACACAATTGGTCAAGTGTAGTGTGCCAGTGCCTACCTGACACCGAATAAGGTTAAAGCACTACTTAAAATTTTGTCACTGCATGAGCTATATGATGTAACAGTTCTTAGTCATTCTGAACTAGGTAATGTTCAATCTATTCTAATCTAATTGAGTAATATTTTAATAGAAAATATAAGCAACCGTAAATGAAACAGATAACTGACAGAGTGATGTATTTTGTTTTGTCTGCACATCTTTGGGTTTGCTGTACCGCTTAATGGCAGCTATATGAATATTTTATTAAGCAGCCAGTTTAACAATGACTGTTAGACATTCTCCTCACAGTTGTACAATGTAGTAAACAAGCAAGGTGAGTGGGATTTTTGAGGTCTACTGCAATAGGAAATCAATCACATTCTAAGTGTAACCTGCCGTAGATGACCCTACCTTGGCAGGGAGGTTGGACTAGATGATCTCCAGAGGTCCCTTCCAACCAAACTGTTCTGTGACTCTGCAATTTTTTGTAAATGAAATGCAAAGATGTTTGTTCCTCTTATTGTTCTTTGATGGGAAGGCACAGCCATTCCTCTGATGCCATCAGGAAGCTCTACCTACCTGGTCTCAACTGAGGCCTGGAAATCTTCTCAAGATTTCTTTAAAACCAAGAAAGGTTTTAAAACAAACACCCTATAAACTTCACCCATGCTTCTAACTCTCCTATTTCAGAGACAAATATGAGAAACAGTTTTATGTGTCTTTCTGTATATCTAACCCTTCTTCCCCATTTGAACATTGCAGCTTTATGCTGTATTTATCTCATGGACATGGACAGGTCCTAGTATTCCTGCACTCTTTACCAAATGAAACCATTTTTGCCTTAGGAAATCAGTGCTCTGTATTTTTTCTGTGCTTATTTTTTTTATAAAGCTTTTAAATATAAACATGATGTTTAATAATTTCTTTTGTTCTATAATTTCAGAGAAAGAATGATCTCTATACTCTTTCTTCCAATGTTTCCTTCGAAGTTACTAGCATGCCATATAAGGTGCAACCAGCAAAGCTCCCCAGGGGAAGCATAGCAGTAAGTAACTGAAAATGGTATCTTTATGTGAAGCACATATATTTGGTCATTCTGATCACAGCTGTGAAAGTGTTTAATAGATGAAAATATTGAGATTGGTGTTTCCTGTGTTTCTAGTGTAAATTGCTGAAATAATACCTAAAGGAAATACCTTTATTGCTTTTTCTGGAAGCTGATGATATATGATGCTAATTCCATTTTTAAATAATTTCTTGCTGCACTAATGTGCAGCCTGCTTTATTGCAACCAGGATGGATTTTTCACCCAGACGAAAACAATAAAACTGTGAAAGCAAGTGTCTAATTACCTTGTTTGGGGTAAAAGAAAATCTGGAAGAAATTTTTACGCAAAATCCAGAATCTTGATTCTGTTGGGTTTAGAGATCTCACTGTTCTCCCAGTCAGCAGTTCTCTCACACAAGCTTACGGATTATCTACAGCAACTTCTCTCTTATCTGTATTAAGCTTCTTTTGATTTTCAGAGAGGATTGCGTCTCGCTCTAGGGTTTCCACCTCGCAGCACATCAGGTGCAAGATATGAAATTACCTGGTAATCCCTAACAGACATGATCGATCGATGCTGAAGTACTTGCTTTATTTGCAGACTGAGATTTATGTGGCCCTGGATTATTATACGAAAAATGAATCTTGGGAGTCTTAAGTTTGATTTAATTGTTTGCTGGTGCCAAAGCATTGAGTTTGGGGAGCACTTAAAAGGAATTTGCTTCTTATGGTGTATAATACCATGGTTAATATTCACTATGTTTTGTCATTACTGATAGAAATAAGTGAAATATGAATGCAGAAAATGATTCTAGTATAAGAGTAATCTGAAATTTGAAGGCTTATTATTCTGATCTTTATAAAGATTTATTAGTTGCCGACCTTCTTTTAAAAGGTAAGCTCAGTTCAAACGTTTCCAAGTTAAATTGTGGTGAAAATACTTCATAGTCTGTTGAGAAATAGCAGTAGGGACAGGACATTTTCTTTTATGGAAAACCAACAGAATAATACACTTAATAACTTACTTTGATGTTGTTTTAGAGCATACAGGCTATAAAGTTTTGTTTTGAACATGCACAGATTGAATGGTCGATTGATACTTGCTCTGGGAAGACACAAAATCTTGGTCCTACATGCACAGTGACTCCAATCTCCCTCATCAGAAGAACCGTGATTTCACTGGAGAGATCTGGTGCTTAATGCAGTATTCATCCAGAAAGGTTCAAAGGCTCCAAGCTGACAGTTATACTCAGGTTCTTTGTATTTTCTTGCAGCATGTGTTCCATACCAGAAACACATGTTGTGCAGAATTCTGTTGGTAGTGGTGCCTTCATCTGGACTGAAGAGCTTTACCCCAGGTGATAGCCTGCTGTTCTCAACAAGTGTCAGATGATCTACCAAATGACCAGATAAGCATTTTATTCTCTTAGTCCAGCCAGTATAATGCTTATTATTTGCTGCAGATGATTTAGAGCAAAATGCCTGTAATGGCAACTGTAAAATGCTGAAAAATGATAGTGCTTTTATGTTGTTTCATATCTGGACATGGCAGTGGATGCTTGCCAGCTCTACAGCTTGATGTGTTATATGCACAAGTTCTTTTGATGTTCCACTTGCAAGAAGAAATATTTGCTTGAAGTTGGGCAATGCTTAATATTTTTTCTCCTTCTGAAAAAGATCACTAGTTGTGTTTTAAAATTTTCCAAGGGTTTATTTGGAAGCTTATGGTTTTATTTCAGACAATGAAAGGGTGGAAGCTGAGTAAAGATTTTAGTATTTTAAAATTAATTGTCAATGTATGTATCTAATAATCAGCTAACACTTAAAAGTGTATATAGAGCAGAAAATATATTTAAAATATCAGAGCATATGTCCTTTATTTAACTCATACAGTACTGGATTCCAGTTATGCAGGGTAGTGTTTCTGATGGGTTTTAATGGCATCAGTAACCTAGAGTCGTGTAGACATATTTGCAGCACATTTCCATTATCATGGAATATAGGTCTATATCTTGAACAGAGGGTCACGATACAAAGGTGTGTGAAAGGTTCAGTAAATGTAAGAAAACCTTTTCTAGTAAAGCATTAGAGTGAAAACGACATCAAATAGAAAATTAGCTTGAAATTCAGTGAAGCTTAAACTAGAATCCACTGACATCAATAATAGTTTTTCTATCAATTTTGGTAAGCCTGGAATTGCAGCTCTATGTTATACAGCTGGTTGGATTTCGTTTCTAACAGCTGTATCGTTCAAGAGAAAATTGCCATTTTTTTTTCAGAAGTATTATTATGGTAAATAATACTATCTTGATGAATTGCATGTGCAACATGAAAGTACTTTTTACTATAAAATGTACAGAGTTAGAATAAGCAGTAATTTGTTCTATTTTCATTTATGATTCTTGAGCCAGTTTGGAGTTTAATAAAATAAGGTTGCTTTTGCTAAATCTTTGATAGGCTCTTCAGGGGGGATGCCTTTAGTCTAAACTGTTTGACCAGTGTCCTACAGTGAGTAAAACTGATTTCAGACTAAGGCTTATAACTCTTTTTAGCTATGACATGGTGATAGTGCTCTCATTTTAAATGTGCTTATATTCCTTATGAAACATACTTGCATAAACACTTTTACAGTGTAAACATAAATGTCAATATTCATTATGACTCCAAGCTCAAGAGAGCTTTTACATTCTATTTTGGGCATTTTTTCAGGGCATATAAGAACATCATGCTGCAAAGGTTGGATGGGGACATGTAGGAGCACAAAAGAGTTCCTGTTGCTCAGTCTCTGTAAACAAAATTACTAGGGATTAGAGGAAGGTCATCATGGGCAGTAAAAGTAGTAGCATTAGAATAATAATCAATTTGGCTAGTGTTTCTTAAAGTAGCAGAATAAATTATGGAGAAGTTATTTTTATTTTTTAAAGGACAAGAGGGGAAAAAAATAGCTTTGTGAGAATCCCACTATCATGCACTGAATTCTGGCCAGAGATGCTGGATGTTTGCACCAGTACAACCTAACTCCCATCTATCCACAAGGGACTGCCAGTGAACCAGCAACTTACCACATATGCTCTTCTCTGCCTTGCACTGCCTTTCAGAGGAATCGAAGACAATTTTGAAGACATATTCAGTAGTACCAAAATCAGGAGCAAAATCCAAACTGTACAAAAACAGTGGCAAAAAACCTAATAGTTCTTCTATCTACTTAAAATGTGCTCAACTGTGGCACATTTTAAAAAAGGAAAATAAAAGCCTCCCCTGTAGAAACACTTTCATGAGCAACAAATAACTTTCATGGAACCATGACAGGGTTCTGAAGTTAAGACTATCAGAGGGCATCTGTGCTAAGACCAGCATGCATTTTATTTCTAATAGCAAACTAAGGTTCTGTCCATAATTTTTGAGTTGGCTTCACCTTCATTTCAGTACCTGAGCCAGATGGCATTCCTTGGCATCCCTTTTCATACAAAAGGTGTGAGACATTCAGCAGTATGAAAAGCCAAAAGTCAGAAGGCTCCTCTCAAGTCTGTGAGCTGTGCTTTTCACCTGCCTGGCAGAGAAGCAAGCACTGTTTTCAGTGTTCAGCATAAGAAAATCTTGTCCTGCACGGATAGAAAAGCCAGCATGCATCTAAAGTGCAGTGCCAACATGCAACACTTGTGTGAAAATTCCACTTCTTTACATTGGCCACCTTAGATGAAAATAGATCAATCCCCCCAAAACATTGCCTGGCTCTGATCCTGCAGTAGTAAACCTACCACATGGAGAAGAACAGAAATCCAAGCTGAAAATACAAACTTGTCTTAAATCAAAATCATATGTAAAACTGTTGTGGACAGCATGGGGTGGAGGAGGGACAGTCTTCTGTGGAAATGGTGGAACGAGGCAGGCAAAACTGAAGAGATGCTTTGTTTCTTTCTTTCCCTCCAGCTTCTGCCTTGACTCACTGAGTGTTCAGGACTTGCAGTGTCAAACTGTTCACCAGCAACTGCATTAGTAGCCTTGCAAGTCTTTATGTAGAGTATAAAGGGAGGCAGCCCAGGGGTGTTACGTTCTACTGGTATTGCACACAGGCAGGAGTGAGACTGCTGTCTACAAATAATCCCCTACCCAGGAAATAAATCTCAAGCACTTTTTCTTCCCTTGCTTTCAAAATCTAAGACAAAGAAGGATTCATGGAAAGAGGGTGTGGGTTCAACAGGATGATTTCAAGATTTTAGCAGGCAAATATTACATTAGCCATTGGCCCCACTCAGGCTAAAAGAGAAGAGAGATGTGGCACCTTTGCAACAACATTCTGCTTGATACAGGGTAGACCGAAATTTCTGCTGTTTTGCTCATTGCTGATAATCTAAGGATTATAAACATGAATACTCTGCACTTCTATAAGATTACAGTTTCTTGTTTATGTTTCAACATTTGTCAGGCTTCAGCTGAGGTACTGAAATTAAACAGCAAGTTGCACTCAACTGTCTGGAAAGGCAGAAAGACAGACAGAGGGAGAGAGGATTCTGAACACAGGCAGCCCAAGCAAGGCTGAATGCTGCTACACCATTCATAATTGGTTAGCATTCTCAGGAAGATCCACATGTTCTTCTCTGCATCCATGCTGATAGGTGCTCTACAGGTATCAGGAGAAGAGCTAGCTTGCCTTATTGTTTTCATAGCCTAAGGGGAATGAAAACACAACACACATATACAGCAGGCATCTAGGAAGTGGCACATAATGGAAGCCATGGAATGGCAACTTAGGGACTTGCAGTTGCATTCACTACTATCAGCTTTAGCCAAAACCTAATGAAATCCACCAACTCTAACGAAATAGACTGTTTCTACTGATTTCAGC